TACTTTTGTTTTTATTTTCCTTACTCTAGGAGGTGGGTCAAAAAAAGATCATGCTGTAGTTTATGTCAGAGAGTGTTTCTCCTATGTTTTCCTCTAAGAGTTTTATAGTGTCTGGTCTTACATTGAGGTCTTTAATCCATTTTGAATTTATTTTTGTGTATGGAATTAGGTAGTGTTCTAATTTCATTCTCTTAAAAAAATAAACAAATAACTTTATTTATTTATTTATTTATTTATTTATTTATTTATGGCTGTGTGGGGTCTTCGTTGCTGTGTACGGGCTTTCTCCAGTTGTGGTGAGCAGGGGCTGCTCTGTTGCAGTGCATGGGCTTCTCATTGTGGTGGCTTTTCTTCTTGCAGAACACAGGCTCTAGGTGTGCAGGCTTCAGTAGTTGTGGCGTGCAGGCTCAGCAGTTGTGGCTCGCAGGCTCTAGAGTGCAGGCTCAGTAGTTGTGGTGCACGGGTTTAGCTGCTCTGCGGCATGTGGGATCTTACCGGACCAGGGATCGAACCCATGTCCCCTGCATTGGCAGGTGGATTCGTAACCACTGTGTCACCAGGGAAGTCCTAATTTCATTCTTTTACATGTAGCTGTCCAGTTTTCCCAGCACCACTTATTGAAGAGGCTGTCTTTTCTCCATTGTACATTCTTGCCTACTTTGTCATAACCCATACGTGCGTGGGTTTACCTCTGGGCTTTCTATCCTGTACCATTGATCTATATTTCTGTTTTTGTGCCAGTACCATACTGTCTTGGTTACCGTAGCTTTGTAGTATACTTTGAAGTCGGGGAGCCTGATTCCTCCAGTTCTGTTTTTCTTTCTCAAGATTGCTTTGGCTATTCGGGGTCTTTTGTATTTCCATACAAATTGTAAAAATTTTTGTTCTAATTCTGTGAAGAATGCCATTGGTAGTTTGATAGGGATTGCATTGAATCTGTAGATTGCTTTGGGTAGTAGAGTCATTTTCACAATATTGATTCTTCCAATCCAAAAACGTGGTATATTTCTCCATCTGTTTATGTCATCTTTTTTTTTTTTTTTTTTTTGCGGTACGCGGGCCTCTCACTGTTGTGGCCTCTCCCATTGCAGAGCACAGGCTCCGGATGCGCAGGCTCAGCGGCCATGGCTCACGGGCCCAGCCACTACGCGGCATATGGGATCTTCCCGGACCGGGGCACGAACCTTCCAAATTGTCTTATGGTGTGTGGCCTCCAAAGTTTGCTCTGAATTGTCTAGTACAGACAGCCTCTAGAAACTAGTAGCAGATCGACTCACGTATACTGTTGAGCCACACAACATTTAGCAAAGCAGAGCCAGGCATCTAACGATGGAAGACTCAGCGAGCCAACACCTGAAAGCTGTCTTTGAGACCGTCTAGTCCAAGTCCAAATCCACTGCCATAAACAGTTCTTCCAGTACTTGCAGACCAGTTCTCTAACCAGTCCATCAGAACCTACGTTCAGCCACCATTCCCTGGAGCTTCTGTAATCAATGCAGGCTATAGCTGTCTCCTAAAAGGCCTAAGCGCACTCCTCTGCCCACCAGACAATTTCTTGGACGAATTCTGTTAGCGCTTCCACCTTTCCACCGTGGTCCAAGTCAAGCAATAGTCTAGCTGATCTCTCTGCTTTCATTGTTGCTCTATAGTCTACCCTCAACACATCAGCCAGAGTGGTCCTATTAAAACTGAAACCCTGGGCTTCCCTGGTGACGCAGTGGTTGAGAGTCTGCCTGCCGATGCAGGGGACATGGGTTTGTGCCCCGGTCCGGGAAGATCCCACATGCCACGGAGCGGCTGGGCCCGTGAGCCATGGCCGCTGAGCCTGTGCGTCCGGAGCCTGTGCTCCGCAACGGGAGAGGCCACAACAGTGAGAGGCCCGTGTACGAAAAAAAAAAAAAAAAACAAAAAAAAAAAACAGCATAGTAGAAGAAATGGAAGTTGTGATTGGAGAGCAGTATATTTAGACCAGAGATGTTCAAAAGGAGTAGATCTCCATGACAACATGATCTGGATTCGGCCATGAGTGGGGGACTGAAATGACACAGATGTGAATGAAAGGCAGTGTGACTGAGCCAGTTAATGAATTGGATGCCAAGGATGGGCCATACACATGGGCATGTTAAGGATGATAAGCCATGGACGGAAAGAAAGACTGAGCCAGATGCTATAGTAAATGAGAGAGAGGCCTAGGAGTCAGTAGGTGGCAGCTATAAGGAGGAGAAGAAGCTGGTACCAGCCTCATATGAACAGAGCTTTGTACTTAAGGGTAGAAGGATAATAGCTAAGCAACAGCAGTGAAAACAAAGAAGACACCAACTGCACCTCCAGACCCCGAAGGGTGGGGAGTGTGAAAGAACAAGCAGCTTTTACTTCCAAATGCTCCAGGGGTTTGGGAGTCCTGAGGGGAGAACCAGGTTTCAGTTAAAGAGGTGGTGAAGAGAGAAGATTCAGTGCAGGGACTGAGAGTGTGGGGATACATCCTAACCATGAAATTGGGGTTTAAAAAGGCAGTGTAGGGTATGGGAGGCAGGGAAGTAATAGGAGGCTGCATCCGGGGAGAGAAAGCACAAAGAGGAATGGGGATGAAAGTACAAAAGAAGGTGGCAATGACCAATGATGAGAACATATGACATTAGGTTTAAGCTTGCCACAAGGTTCCATCAACACTGAGCGAGTCTTTCTCAAGCATCTGCTCTGTGACAATGTTGCTGTAAGTGCTTGAGCACAGAGTAAGCAAAGGTCCCTGCCCTTTCAGGGCTCATAGTCTAGCAGGAGGAAACAGACAGTGAACAATCAGCGTAATATAATAAATAACAAAATGATCTAGGGTACTAGGATGTGATAAATGCTCTGGAAAATACAGAAAAGGTAGAGCAGCTTGAGGGGGTCTGGGAGTATCCCTGAGGATGTGGTGGGAGAAAGTCTTACAGAGAATGGTCCGGGCAAACCTTTAGCAAAAAAAAAAAAAGAGGCAAGAGAATTAGGCATGCTTATTCAGAGCAGAGTCCTAAGCAGTAGGAACAACTACTAAAAAGGTCCAAAGCCAGGAGGATGCCAAGCATGTTGAAGAAATAATGAAAAGAACAAAGCAGCTAGAGCTGTGTGAACAAGGGGAGAGGAACAGGAGGTAAACAGGATGCTGGGGGTGGGGAGGTGCAGTGAAATGGGAAACCAGTGCAAGAGGAGAGACACGATGGGGTTTCAGTTTTGTTTTTTTTTTTTCGGTTAGGCGGCCTCTCCCTGCTGTGGGGCTCTCCCGTTGCGGAGCACAGGCTCCGGACGCGCAGGCTCAGTGGCCATGGCTCACGGGCCCAGCCGCTCCGCGGCATGTGGGATCTTCCCGGACCGGGGCACGAACCAGCGTCCCCTGCATCGGCAGGCGGACTCTCAACCACTGTGCCACCAGGGAAGCCCTATGCTGGTTCTTTGATCTCATCAAAATCCCCCTTCCCTTGACTCCTCTGCGTTATCCTTTCCTTATGGTTTCTTGATAGTTCCACTTCTTTCTTGACTAGCTTAAATACCACGATCCATCAGTTCCTATGAGTTGCCAGTCTAATCATCATGGATTTTTGTACTGGTTAACATGGTAGAGTTCAAATAAATTTGAAACAGTGAGAAAAAACCCGAAAGACCTCAGATGTCTTACTTTAGGTAAGAAAGGAAATAATATGAATTCTCTACACTTCAGGAATTGTCAGGAAAAGAGAGTAGAGTCAAAGCTGGAGGGTCTGGTGAACCGTAATCAGGTTTTATGCTATAGCCACATGGTGGTGCCATTTTAGCTGATAAGCAGAAACCCCTCCTTTGCTCAGCACTGCGTGAACTGCACGGCTGTTTACAGACAGTGGAACTTCTGCCAGTGATTATGACTAATGTGCTGTTGCTTTATAAACCGTTATTATAACTGAAAATATTTTCATATCCTACAATGTTCATTAAGCAGCGGTTCTAGTGATAGTGCTGAAAAACACAACCCCCCAAACAGTAACTTTGGAACAGAAGCTAGTTCTGATAAAACATTATGAAGAAGGCCAAACATTCACTATGACACCCTGTGTGCTGTTCATTTAGGAATGAGCACTCTAAAAAAATGAGAGGTAATGAAGGAAAAAATTAAAAGAAGTATTAAGGTAAAAATAAGCGACAATGCTGTACATTCACGCATCTTCCCCCAAATATCCCCCTTACATATTTTCCTATGGGAAAATTAGTCTTGAAGTATGAGTTTTACATCATGAGATCACTTAGAAACATATCTAACACACAAATGTAAATGCCTCCTCAAAATACAATATTTCCCCTACCTCCTCCATGAAGCGATCCTCTTCTACAGCTACTCCCGGGCACACAGTAAACAGCGTGGTGATTACGAGCGTGGACTTTGGAGCCAGATGGCCTGGGTATGAATCTCCTAGTTTCCTAATTATATGGCTTTGGGTTAATTACTTAACCTCTCTGTGCACCAGATTCCTCATCTGAAAATTAGGATGATAGCACTACTTACCGTCAAAGGGCTGTTGTGAGGATTGGTCAGGTTAATATATGTAAGACACTTAGAACCTCCCAAAAGCACTGAGTAAACACTATGTAAATATTAGCTACTGTTGTAGTGATCATCGTCGCCGTCACCATCACCACCATCTTCCCATCAACCCTTGATGATACTTACAAGCCTGTATTTATTTCACTGGGTTAAAAAAGTAAGGTGCTCCTTTGTTCATAGTATATATATGAATTACTCATAGTATATACAGTGGTTACTCATAGGCTATGCAGTGGTGTGAAGACAGTCCTTTTGCTATTTCTTCTAGAAGACTGTCAGAATCCTTCACCACAGTTCTGTGTGTCAATATACAGTAGAGTAGGCAGCGCAAGTTTAGAGAGCCTTTTCCAGTGCAAGTGCTGGGTAAGTGGTATGATTCTGAATAGAGCCCACTCAGACACTAATATTTACATCAAGTGATACAACAGTATGTTTCTTCCCCCAGTCTTACCTTCAGCCTGTCCTTGGGCAGTGCGACGACCCCTTGCTTGATGATTTCCAGAACCCGTTCCACTGACAGCTCAGCTCCAGCTTGTAGCAACCTCGAGCTAAAGAAGGTGATCACCTGGAATGTAAAGTGTTATTTTTTTAAACAAGTACATGTATGAGAGGTATTTTCAGTAGATGCCTTTCTCACACGGTAGTCAAAGGATCATCGTTCCATTTCTTTGAGTGACCTGGCTTTCAATTCACTAGCTCTCCTAAATAAGTCCTCTGTATAAAGGGTTTGATGGCTGAATCAGAGCCAACCCCTGAATATTCAGGGTTGATGATGCATTCTGTGAATTAAGCAGGCTCCTGAATTCTGCACTTTCTTGTGCTGCCTCACCTTGCATTCATGTTTCATTTAGAGAGCAGCACCCATCAGAAGGTAGGAAGAGAAAGCTAAAGCTTAATGTCTGTTAATATTGAGGCTTAATAGTAGTTGACCAGAAAAAGTCTTGATAAGAAAGAAATTTGAAGCTAATGGCTAAAATGATGTTTGGGGGATTATTGATCAATTTAATTTATCCACAACACTCTTACCTCTGAGCACCGGGGATAATCAACAGCAAGCTGTAATTTTTTGGTTTCATGTCACAGCACAGCCTGAACTATGTAGTAAGGTGCTAACACAGTAACATTTGGAAATAACACTGTCTCTTAACACTTGTCATTAAAAACTAAAAGATTGTCATCATTTTTTAGGAAATCACTTAAAAACCACAATGTCAATAAATCAAGAAGACCATAAGTCACTTTTTATTCAAGAGACTATACACTATAGACAAGTGTTTATAGTCAAAGATGCCTGCAGAAATTTATGTTTCTTAAAAAGTTGAGTATTTCCATTTACATGTTTTCTATTTTATAGGTAAATTATTTTAAGTTAACTAAGAGTTATTTCCAAACAGTTTTCTAGATTTTCTTTCAAGATTACTCTCCTAAATATTAATTGTTCAAATGCACAATAACTTTTCTCCTAACCATTCTAGTGGAAGGTGCATGATATGACAAAAATGCCACTAAAATAGATTTATTCTGTAAAGTAGAGACCCAGCTGGAGCCAGAACCCTAACAAGCTTGTGCCTTGAAGGACTGTGGCAACGAGCGAAAACAAAGGCAGCCAATGCCTGGTTACACTGCTGTTGATTCCAAATAAATCATTTCTTTATCTCAGGCAGTTTGCTGGCACCAGCTCCTTTGCAAGTTGCTTATTTTGTCCACGACAGGTTGGTTTTCAACATGTGCCCATGGGTCTTGTTTTTTCCAAGTCAGATTTTAAGCTCTCTGGGATAAAATTTTGTTCACAAGAGTTTAGACACAGCAGGTACTATAACTGATTTTCATAAATTGTAATTAAGTCTCTTTTTATTTATTTATTTTTGGCTGCACTGGGTCTTCGTTGCTGCGCGTGGACTTTCTCTAGTTGCGGCGAGCAGGAGCTACTCTTTGTTGTGGTGCGCGGGCTTATCATTGCAGTGGCTTCTCGTTGCGGAACATGGGCTCTAGGCACGTGGGCTTCATATTTGTGGCACATGGGATCATCTGGCTTGCGGGCTCTAGTTGTGGCTTGTGGGCTGGGCTCTAGAGCTCAGACTCAGTAGCTGTGGCACACAGGCTTAGTTGCTCCGTGGCATGTGGGATCTTCCCGGACCAGGGATCGAACCCATGTACCCTGCATTGGCAGGTGGATTCTTAACCACTGCACCACCAGGGAAGTCCCTCTTTTTATTTTTAAATGGACATTTTATACGTGTAAAATAAGTAAATTCCGTGAAAGTATTTTTTGAATTTTGGCTGTACCTGAAGTTTTTGTGTTTTACTTAAGACACTGATGATACCCTTGACAACCTATTCAGTGGAAGGAATAATCAGAGAATTTACAAAGGAAATAGATGATACTTTTTGTCTGCAAGAAAGATGCAATGTGTACAGCAACTGAAATTCAATAAAAGGGAAAAAAAAGAGAAAGATGCAAGGTAATAATTGGGGGACAAGACACTGATCAAACGTATAATTAAATGGATTTAAGACATCATGGTAGTGTACACTACAAAATGCTCAAAGTCAGAGGCCTAGTTTGGGTCCTGCCTGTGACACTTACTAACCATGTGACTTGTAAGATGCTCAACTTCTTCCAGATGTAGAATTGTGCAGTGGTTTGGAGCACTTATCAGGTGTCAGATTGCTTGCATTTAAATCCCAGCTCTCCTTATAAACTTAGGCAAGTTATTTAACATCTCCATGCCTGAGTTTCCTGATCTACAAATGAAGAAAAATAAAATGCCTGCCTCATGGAGTTGTTCTTAGAATGAATACTTGCAGAGCACAAAGAACGATGCCTGGCACATGGTAAGTGCTCACAAAATGTCAGTAACTATGATTGTCATTAGGTGCATCTCAGTATCTTTGTTTATAAAATGAAAAAGTTGCCCCATCTACTGCATAGGAAACAATCATAATACATGTAAAAGTAGTCTGTTAAGGATGAAACCCATGAATGTCAGTACCCACCAATGTATCCAATCAGTAACATTTCTTTGTAGTTATATGTCTATATTCCTGATTTTATGCCTGATATAGGCGAAAAATTTGTAAGAACTGAGTTTGGTGGCACAGGTCATCTCACCCAAACCAGTCAGGACTATCAAGTGAAATCTACTGAAAGTAAATTTTAGGAAAGCCTGCAGGTTAAAACCTCCATGATCACCGTTAGTTTAATACATTACTGAGGGTCAACTAACAACTCTTCTCTTTTTACTTGATGAATTTATGTACAACTTTTCCCAAGAAATTTATATTAATTTTATCATTTTCAGAAAAATTAAACGTAGTACCAGATTGAGGACGCCTTCATAGTTTGCCTAGGTCGCACAGGTCGCTCGGTATCCTGGCGGTCATAAATAGTGCTGCTGTGTACACTGGGGTGCATGTACCTTTTTGAATTAGTGTTTTTGTTTTTTCAGACATGTATGCAGGAGTGGAATTGCTGGGTCATATGGTAGTTCTATTTTTCGTCTTTTTGAGGAAACTCCATACTGCATATATTGAAGAATCCTTGCATCCCTGGGATAACCCCACTTGACCATGGTGTATGATCCTTTTAATGTATTGTTGAATTCAGTTTGCTAATATTTTATTGAGGATTTTTGCATCTATGGTCATCAGTGATATTGGCTGTAATTTTCTTTTTTTGTGATGCCTTTGGTTTTGGTATCAGGGTGATGATGCCTCACAGAATGAGTTCAGAAGTGTTCCTTCTTCTGCAATTTTTGGGAATAGTTTGTGAAAGACAGGTGTTAATTCTTCTCTAAATGTTTGGTAGAATTCACCTGTGAAGCCATCTGGTCCTGGATTTTTGTTTGTTGAGAGCTTTAAAATGACTGATTCAATTTCATTACTTGTAATTGGTCTGTTCATATTTTCTATTTCTTCCCGGTTCAGTTTTGGGACACTGTGCATTTCTAGGAATTTGCCCATTTCTTCCAGGTTGTCCATTTTATTGCCATACAGTTGTTTGTAGTAATCTCTTACGATCCTTTGTATTTTTGTGGTATCAGTTGTAACTTCTCCTTTTTTGTTTCTGATTTTATTGATTTGGGCCCTCTCTCTTTTTTTCTTGGTGAGTCTGGCTAAAGGTTTATCAATTTTGTTTATCTTTTCAATGAATCAACTTTCAGTTTCAGTGATCTTTTCTATTTTTTTCAGTCTCTATCTCATTTATTTCCACTCTGATCTTTATGATTTCTTTCCTTCTACTAACTTTGGGTTTTGTTTGTTCTTCATTCTCTAATTCCTTTAGGTGTAAGGCGAGGTTGTTTACTCGAGATTTTTCTTGTTTTCTGAAGTAGGCTTGTATTGCTATAAACTTCCCTCTTAGAACTGCATTTGCTGTTCCACAGATTTTGGATCATTGTGTTTCCATTTTCATTTGTCTCCAGGATTAAAAAAAATTTCCTCTTTGATTTCTTCAGTGACCCTTTGGTTGTTCAGTAGCATATTGTTTAGCCTCCACGTGTCTGGGTTTTTTGCATTTTTTTTCTTCTTGTAGTTGATTTCAAGTCTCACAGCACTGTGGTTGGCAAAGATGCTTGATATGGTTTCAATTTTCTTAAATTTACTGACAGTCGTTTTGTGGCCTAGTGTGTGGTCTACCCTGGAGAATGTTCAACGTGCACTTGAAAAGAATGTGTATTCTGCTGCTTTTGGATGAAATATTCTCTATACATCTATTAAGTTTATTTGATCTAATGTGCCGCTTAAGGCCAGTGTTTCCTTACTGATTTTCTGTCTGGACCATATGTCCATTGATGTAAGTGGGGCTGCACAAGGTGATCTGAAGGTGAACAGATGACCCCTGCAAATGCCGTGGGTTATATTATAGCAACAGAACCCTGAGCTTAGAGAACCCAAATCTCTTATAATGGTCAGTAAAAGTGTCTACCTTTTGCTCCAGAGGGAGACAAAGACATGCTCCCATCTTTACCCCATCTGATCCCAGGTATCTGCACAACTCATTTTCTACCTCCTTCAAGTTTGAGCACAAATGTACCTTCTCAGAGAGGTCTTCTCTGATTGCACTCTTTAAATTTGCAATATCCCAATCCTATTCCAAATAGCACTCATTATTCCTCTTTCTTCTTTTTTGGCATTTTGGCATAAGCAACTAGGTAGATATTGATGTCATTTACAGAGCTAAGGAAGACTGCAGAAGAAAAAGCAGATTCATTTTGTGTTTGATTTTTTTTTGAAGAAAATAATGAATTCTCATTTAACCTTGTTCAACATTTGTGGGACTGTTGTATAGGCAACTGAATGAGCTAGTTTGGAGCTCAATAAGAATGGTCAGGTCTGGAAATACAGAAAACCCAGTGTAAATTTTACAGTCAAGAGATAAAAATAGTTCTTGCCTTTACCATACCACAAAACTATTGTTGTTCACTGTCTCTGTCCTATACTTATATTCAGCCATGAAATTTCTTTCACGCCCTCTCTTGTTTGGTGTGGTATTTCTATTTTGTCCTGTTTATTAATTCAGCCAGATCATATCATCTTATGAGTTAGAATAGAGGGTTATGTACA